AGAAATTAACAAATACATGTTCAGGTGTTACCTGAATTCTATTAAGGAAGAAAAGTGAATTTATTTAACAAAATAACACATACCCTCACTCTACCCCAGGGGATAGCTTGAGGCTCTGTCTCAAAAAAAAAAAAAACAAAAAAACCAAAACACATACCCTGAAAAGTGCTGAAGGTGGAATTACAGGGATCTTGGCTGTGAGCAGAACTGTTCTATGTAAGGCTGGGATGACCTTGCCTGTCCGTCTGTTCAGGGGGAGGAAGGGTGTGCATAGAGCTGGAGGGGTGAGGGGAGATGGGGTCAGCACAGGGCCACACCCGGGGTGCCCACCCAGATCCTTGAGGGAAGTTTCTAAATTCTTGGAATTCTCAGGGCCAGTGCATCTTTATGGAGTCTGGGGAAATAACCGAGACTGGTGCCAAGTCACTGTAGGGGAGCTGAGAAGGGATGAAGACCTGGACCTTTGCCTGGAAATGTGGGGACCTTCACACTCCACCACCTTCATCTTGTTGGCATTGGAGATACTGGGTGAACCTCAGGGGCTCTGGACTGGCAGGAGGCTCCTCTTGAGCTCTCATGGGCCCGGGACCTCCTCTGCTCACAGGGTCTCCAGAAGTCCTGGGGGATGCCTTTCTGTCATCACTCTGGTGGGGGACAGCAGAAGGCCACCCCTGCTTCTGACAGGCCCTTTCAGCTTCTAGGCCATCCTATACTCCCCATCTTGGAAGACCCCTTTTTAGCCACCCCAGTGGGCCCACAAAGCACCCACTGTTGGTCATGAGTTCCCTTCAAATGGACATTCAAACGGGGTTGGAAATGATGTCTTGGAACTTTCTCCAGCTGTGCAGGAACAGTCCCCCACTACTCCTGTGAGAGTGCCTGACGCCTCCCACATGTGGCCTGTGCTCCAGCCAGTTTGTCCCACTGGAGCAAAGCAGCATCAGTGGTGGGGTTGGGAAGGGTCTTCCTGGTGTGGTAGAGGGGGTGTGAGACAATGGGAGCGTCTACAAGTTTGCCAGAGCTGCCCTAGGAAAGGGCTACGGACCAGGTGGTTTAAAACAAGAGAGCTGTATTCTGTCACAATTCTGGAGGCTGCAAGTCCAATCTCATGGGGTCAGCAGGGCCAGGCTCCCTCTGACACCTGAGGGTGGTGTGTGGGGTAAACTCCCACAAAATTAAATGAAATGTGCTCTTTTAATTCCAGAAACTGAGCAAAAAGACTCGTATTATGCGTTTTTATCGAGGCACGGTGGGGACCAGCCGGCAAGGCTTAACAGCCTCCTCCGTAGAACCCCGACTGCGCAGTCAAGTCAGCCTGCCAGAGAAGGGTTGAAATGACCCATCTGTGCAGGGGACATGGCTCAAAGGTTGGTGTGAGTGAAAAGAAAAACTCCCACGTAATGATGTGAGTAAAACACTCCATCGTAACCTCGGGCCTCCAAACTATAAGAAAACAGTCATGGAGCCTGTGTCTCGGAAATTTAATTGAGTACATAGAAGAAAAAGGTTTTACTCCCCTGTTTATCCTGACCTTTAATTTTAACAATAGAAGTCAGATAATGTATAGTTGTTTGGGGTCTCTAGAGAGGAATAGCCTGAGGCTAGTCTTAAGATGGTTGTCTCACTTTCCCGGACTTACTTTCTTTTCTATAGTTTAAGATAAGAATTGAGGATGTTAGGATTATCGATCAATGTGGTGTATGTGACTAACTCCCAATAAAAGGGAGTGGAAATTAAAGACATTTTGCTACATGCCATCTAAGAGTGTGCAGTCGTTTCTTGCTTTCATACAATTCTAGGAGCGAGCTTGCACCCGCGGCCAAGCTGTCCTTCTCTCCCTGTGAGAAAGTACTACCCAAGGGGGGAGGGAGGGGGATCCTTCCCTGCCTGTTCCACCCTGTGGGGTTGCTGCATTCCCCGTGTTGTCCAGCTCACAGCCACGTCACTCTAGTGTCTGTCTCTGTCATCTGTGGTTTCTCTCTGCGTGTCTGTCCTCACGTGTTCTCGTATGACGTCAGCTATGTTGGGCTTCAGTGTGACCCTGTCTTAACCAATCACATCTGCAAAGGGGAGATTTCCAAATAAGGCCTCATCCTGAGGTCCTAGGGGTCAGAACTTCGACACACCTTTACTTTTTCTGGTGGGGGACACAATTCAGCTCATAATGACAAAGTCTTAGAATTTCCAAAACCTGCTTCCTGCTCTGCCATGTTGACCTGCTGCTTTCCTCGAGGTAGCGGCTCCCATCATGAGATCTCGGGTGATTCTGTCCCTTCCCATGAGGTAGTGGCTCCCGTGATGAGAGCTCGGGTGATTCTGTCCCTTCCCAGGAGGTAGCGGCTCCCGTGATGAGAGCTCAGGTGATTGTGTCCCTTTCCACGAGGTAGCGGCTCCCGTGATGAGAGCTCAGGTGATTCTGTCCCTTCCCACGAGGTAGCGGCTCCCATCATGAGATCTCGGGTGATTCTGTCCCTTCCCACGTGGTAGCAGCTCCTGTGATGAGAGCTCGGGTGATTCTGTCCCTTCCCACTAGGTAGCGGCTCCCGTGATGAGAGCTCGGGTGATTGTGTCCCTTCCCACAAGGTAGCGGCTCCCTTGATGAGATCTCAACTGATTCTGTCCCTTCCCACGAGGTAGCGGCTCCCATGATGAGAGCTCGGGTGATTCTGTCCCTTCCCAGGAGGTAGCGGCTCCCGTGATGAGAGCTCGGGTGATTCTGTCCCTTCCCACGAGGTAGCGGCTCCCTTGATGAGATCTCAACTGATTCTGT